CTTGGCATGTGTCGGCGTTGAGGTGTGCATTTCTTGATTTTCAGCTCGTTGGGGTAGTATACATGCCAATACTCCCCTTCATAATGTGCACCAGTTAATTGCTCACAGCTCGTCTTCATACCCGCCATGCGTGTGGAGCAATCGGTTCAGTTACCACACATGACGGACCTGCAAAAGGTTAAGAAACCTTTGGTACCCATTTCATGGTGGGTCCATCCCTTTTAGCACAAAACAAATTTTGAAATTTTTGTTTAATTTTAGCTCCTAAACCAGTCTCTTTTGAAGCTTTTGGAGAGCTATATGACTGAGATTCTGGTTTAGGAACCCATTTTTGAGTTATTGCAGGTGTATGAGAATTTTCAGCGCAGGTGAATGATGGAACAAATTTCCGAGAAGTAAAGATGTTCTCCCTTGATAACCGTTTCAGGTGTTTAGCTGAATAAACCTTGAGGGGATTAGCCAGGCAAACACCATCACAAACAGTATAGATTGAAGCTTCAAATCTTTTCTTTTTCGATTTGCCATCATTCACATCACAATGAGGTTTGACAGCCTTAGCCTTTTGCTTAGGTTTCTCGGGCTTTCTATCCTCAGCAATAGACTGAGAAAACACAGATTCAGAGTTTGTGAAAAAAGATTGTTCATTTCAGACAGAGCTGCATTTATTCTTAGAATAAAATAAAGCACTAGAGCAAGTCTTCTTCGTTTTTGAAAATGTCTTCTGTTTTTCTATTTGCCTTATTCTCCTCTCTTGTATCCACTCCATTCTTCTCTCCGGTCTCTTACCTACATTGTTTCCTTCTTTGATAGGAGACTCAGAGTGAGTGGACACCTTTTCAGAACAACAATTTTGATTATTAGAAGTCTTTTCAAAACAAGTATTGTCTGATGAGGAGGGAGCTGTGCCGGACTGGGATTTTTCTTTAAGAATGGTGATTTCACTCAACAGTCTTTCCCTTTCAAATTCAAAAATTTTCTTTTCATTTTCAAAACTTTTTCTTTGATTTTCTATAGAAATGTGCAAGTTTTCAAATTTTCTGATTAGTGGAGGGATATAGGGTTCTTCTCCACCCGACTGTGAGGTTGAAGGGGGTTCTGGGTCCAACACAACTTGTGTCTCAGAAGGATAAGGACTAACACTCTCATCAGATGAAAAAACAGGTTTGGTTGTTTCATAGCTTTTGTTCAGAGAGGCATAACTGAAAGGAATTTCGGCTTTAGAAGGATTTGATTGCTTTACCTCTTCTTCTTCTGCGGTTTCCTTTCCATAGGTAAAAGTCATCAACTTGGTCAATCCTAACCCCATGTACTTTATGTCGTAAAGTTGGATGCAGTCCACCTTCTTCAAATTATTGGGGTTAGTGAGACCAAGACCTTCTTTAGAGTTATAAAAGCGAGTGTCCTTATTCTGGTTTAGAAAGATGGTTTGTTCAGTCTGCCCTCTCTTGGCAAGTAAATCTTCTAATTCTTTGATTTTTGTGTAAAGAATGCATCTTTTTTCACGTAGAAAATCATTTTCAACTTTTGCAACGTTTCGTTCTAATTCAGTGTCACAAACCTTCTTAGTCAGTTCAGCTACTTTTTGTGTAAGCTTATCTGCTTCTAAGTTTTGCTTCTTAACTCTTTCTTTTTCATTTTCTAATTGTAAGCTCAGGGAGGTAACTCTGTCGAGATTTTTTAACTAACACATTGTAGTTGTTATCTAGCTTGTCTCTTAACTCCTTTATAATGTTATGACAATCACATTTGCTAAGCTGAAGCTTATCAGAAATTTCAGCGCATTTGCTCGTACACATTGATGATGAGCAAGAGGTATCCATTGCTGATTGTTGAATGTTGACCGTAGACGTGAGGTTGATTGAAGTTTCTGCAATTTTCTAAACCCTGAAGTCTAGCTTGGTCCTTCAGAAAAATAGTCTTAACCTTGAGATTTTGATTTTTTGATTTTTTTTGTTTAATTTTTTTTTCAATCTCAAGGTTGACTCTTGGAAGCTTTGATTACAGTGTTGACCTTTGGTTTTGGAGTTTTGGACTTTGAAGTTTGAAGTGGCTCAAAACTAGCACTTGGAAAAAGATAGATGAAAAGTGTACACTTTCAAGCAAAGGTGGAAAGTAGGCTTCTTTAACTTTCCCACACCTAAACTCCTTGGGAACTTTTGAGCCTTTAAATATGAGTCACTCCTCTCTTAGTATTAAAAGGTGAAGGAGAAGATGGGAGCTCCCGCGCACACAAGAAATCCAGCTTTCAGTACAAAATCAAAAATTCACACCCCCCTGCGCAGGCGACCTGCGGACACGATAGCCGTAAAATTCAGCGGGCCTCAAAAGACAATTTTGCGGCCGAACCTGTGCTTCGAGAACTTCCTGTCGAAAAGCTCCTGTCCAGAGTTGCTGTCGAGAACCTGAACTTCGAGAAATTATTTTTCGATAGAGAACCTCGAGAACCTTTTTCGGTATCGTAACTTCGAGAAACCTGTATCTGTATCGAGAAAGCTTTTCGATATTCCTTCGAAAACCTGCACTTTGAGAACTTTTTCGAGAAATCTGTACCAACGGTTTTCGATATCCACTGCGAAAAACAGTTCTCGATATTCCTCCTGCGAAAAACACAAAAACCGAACAACACAGAAACGAAATTCTGAGCTGCTTTATCTCAAATGCTGATCGAAAACGTCCAAAAACCACATATTAACATTCAATGCTGCTCGATCAGCCCAAAAAAAATAGATGTAAATGAGATTTTCGAGATGTTAGTCTCTGATATCAATTGTTTGTCCCTGATACCAATTGTTTGTCCCTATTTCATTCAACAATCATATAAAATATAGAACAGAGAAGAGAAGAGAACATCTTGTATTCAATACCAAAAAGAGTTTCGAACTTCTGAACAGGGTATCGAGAAACAAGTTTTCGGCTCTCTCTCACTACAATGATATGCGCTCTGAATAATCTGTAAAAGCTTCTCTACACATTCCCTAAAAGGCTATATATATGTGTCTAGGGAATGTGTGATGTGACCTAAGCATCATGATTGGGCTCTTTTATTGATTGGGCCCAATAGACACTTTACACATTTCCTAATAAAGCTAATCTAATAATAGCTAACAAAGATCCCAATGGGCGAAAATATCTAGACAAAATAGCTACACAAATACAAAGATATTTATCAGGATTGGACACCATAAATATTCCTAACAGGGCGATCTGCGGACACGAATCTCATCTCAAAAAACTATATTCTAAAGATAAACGTCAATTTTTGTTCCTCCGATTAATTTTCTAATTTTTGCTCCAGGTTGGAGCAGGCTACTGCTACGTCCGCAGTAGACTCAGCAGTTCCCTACTCAGCAACTATTAAATGTCCAACGTTCTTGTGACTTATTGCAATTAAACGAACGGTTTTATGGACGAGAATCAATGTCAACGTGCTGGACATTGATTGCCAACGTTCATGTACATTAAACCTTCATTAACACAGCTCCTAATCCTTCCTATAAGTAACTGGCAGGTAATTTACAACAATACACAACTCACGAACGCACAACACTTCCTTCACATATTTCATAGCTAAAAACACCTGCATCTACCTCTAAAAAAAATTCCTAAGTGTTCTTGATTTGTTCTCGTTCGCTGGAACTATTCTGTTGAGTGCTCCATGAATAGCTCGTAGTCATCGTGTCCTGAGAAACGATTCTTGCAACGCTCCTAGCACCCCGGGAGGCAACGAATACGTTTTAAGGAAATCGTACGTAGCACGAGCTTTGACTACTGTCTGCTCCATCTCTTTTTTTTGTTTTCTTTTACTCATTTAAATTGATTTTAATTAATTAATTTTTCTTTATTTTTCCGAAACACACCCAACACCAATGACCTGTTTTACCTTCGAGACATTCACACTTATTTTCAAGTCATTCCGTATTTCCTTTTACAGTTCAATTGGGCGTATGCATGGATTTTCTCTGATTTTATTCTTATGCTTATCTTCTATCCATGCTTGACTTACAAGCTTCAACTTGAATTTTTTATTGCATTTGTGTGTACCTACCCATGTCTTTAACTGGAAGCAGTGGTACTAGTTCGCCGTTGAAGCTGTGCATTTGAAAGGACAATTCACAGAACATGCTACTTGAACTCTCATCGGTCCATTCTTTACCCATCTCGGGTCCCGCTTAAAATGAACTGCATTGTTGATCAAAGCAGTTTTGAACTCCCTCGCATCTTCAAACAACATTTCCAACTCAAGGTCTTTTGAATCTAAACTTTGGTTGTATAATGGTACCTTCAATTTCTTCTTCATTTTTGAATCCATCGGATTACCCTTTTCATTTTCTAAATCTGAGTGTAATCCGGGGGGTCTTCAGAGTCATAATACTCACTATCCTCTCCCTCACTGTGAAGTTCCGATTCCAATGTGTGACCAATCATGTTGCTGTTTACCCAATACTTCTTAACCTCCTTTATTTGCTCATTCGCTTCATCATCCTCAATATTTAAGTTATCATGGGATGGTACATGTTCTTCATGTTCTTCACATTCTCTATTTCGTGCAACCACACTCGTTTTTTCTAGTTTTGCACACTCACTGTGATGCTCATCTTCAAACGCTACATCTGTCTCACTTTCAACCCCTAAAGTTTTATCATTTCCACCCACATTTAAAGTAAAAGGCAACCCTAAATGTTCAACCATTTCAGGTTCATCGATTTCATGTTGCACATACACTTCAACAGCACTGATAGAGTATATGGGCCTGGACCCCATGGCCCACATACTCAAGACAACGATGACCAGAAGAATGCCCACGTGGCCCCCTTCGGCCCAGTGGGCCCGCATCGGCCAGAAACCAAACCGGCCCAGAAGGCGAATCTGGACTTCCGGGACCGCGTCGGCCCATGGACCGCATCGTCCATGGGACCGCATCGGCCAAAGTGCACCGCATCGGCAAGACTTCGTCCTGGCAGAATACATCTCTCTACTTTATCCACTAAGTATTGTACTCAGCCCATTAGTGGCCCTAATTCGCCCAAAGAATGCATGATTATTGTAATGGGCCTTCTAAGCCCATGGCTAGGAGCCCAAATCCACATTTTTACCTATAAATAGACCCCTTGGGGCTAGTTATAGGGGGTTGAGAAATATAATTACTCACTTTCTCTCTCTAGCTCTCACTTCTCTCTAGAAATAATACTCTAGTATTTGATGCTTTCATTGAGAGTTTGAGCACAATCAAGTGAGAAATCCTCCCAAAAACATCCAAAAACAATTCTATTTTACCAAAAATCAGGCCAAAAAACAAACTGTTCTAAATCGGTAAATCCAGCAATAATGAAGAAATTTGGAAGAATCCAGATCTGGAACTAGAGCCGCTGTAACGATTTATGTAGCCGTCGTCCATCGTCCATGCCGCCGTACGCCATCTGCTCCAGCTCGCTGCACTAGTTGGGGTTCACTGGACGCTTCCTAGAAGTACCATCACCGCTCCAGGCCTCACTTGTCATCCGTTCGCTAAATCTGTTCGAAGGGTGACATCGGAAGGCAGCCGCTGTAATCTCCGCCATCACCGGGTCATCATGCGCCGCCTTCACAGGTGTCGTCACTGTTGCCGCTTGTAGATCCACCTTGCCGGCCGCTCCCCCACTTCACCGGTCGCCGCTCGCGAGTCAACCTTTCCGTTGACGTGGCCTGAGGTATCTGCCCGTTATAGGTTCGTCATTAATGGTGGCTTGGAGTTCATGAGAAGCAGATCCGAGGCTAGCTAGAGCCACCTTCTCTATCCAGTCGCTAGATTGCCTTTTCTCTTCATACCGAGCTATCCACAACCATTCTCAGTTGTTGGTCAACGTGGTAGATTTGATCTGTGCAGTGTTTGTTCTCCTTCAGCAACTATGGTGGTCAATATTGCTGCCTCACCTCTTGTGAATGCAAAGTGTGACTTCCTCTGGTACTGGTGAGTTGGGCAGATGATGGACGAGCCGGCGTGGACATGGTTTGATCGGCCAAGAGGTATAAAATTAGTTGACCTAGTCAACCATTTCCAATAGCTGACAAATCTAATGCCTAGAAGGGCACATCGTGGATACACTCCATCCACTATCATCTATTCATCTTGGCCGAGCAATTACAGAAAATATTCTTAGCCGACGAGCCAAAAAGATTCCAAAAGCTAAGTTCTTTCTTTCCAATTTTTATATAATTGTCAAATTCATAAATTGATTCAAAAGGTCCAAAAAAAAGAAATTCATGAATGAAATATTGTATTAATATAGCATCAAACTTTAATCTCAAGGAGCGAGTCATCTGTTAAAAGATCCCGAAAAGCGCGGACTGGCGGATTCGAACTACGAACTTGAGTGACAAGTTGAGCTAGATTATTAACTTATTATCATTACTTTTAAAGACTTCCAAAAAAGAAAGTCATAAAGATGAAAAATTAATTATATTACATCAAACTTCAATCTTGAGGGGCGAGTCATCCGTTAAAAGATCCCGAAAAGTGCGGACTGGCGGATTCAAACTACGAACTTGAGTGGCAAGTTGAGTTAGTTTATTAATTTATTATCATTATTTTTAAATAGTGTGTATTTTTTTACATTGAAAAAAGGACTTATTCTGAGCACTCGCGTACACCGGCGGACTATTGAAGTCTCGCGCCACGGGTCACGACAAACTGGTGTGGCGATAAATAAGCTTCAAATCCAAATGTTATCTAATACACAATCTGGTTTCTATGCTCTAGCATATAAACAAAATTTGAGCTCCAACTTGAAAGTTTGAGGCCATTTAATGTAGGCCCAAATCCAATAACGAATTGAAAGCTCAAGAAATTATAACAATTTTATTTGAATACATAGGTGCAATTAAATGATGACCAGGACTACTTGGCATGCCGAGCTACTCACATCGAGAGACTGGTCTCGGCCATCCCCTCAGCAGACGGACACCGTTGCAGCACCGCGCCTAGGCCGAAGGGTTCACACCTTTTTGCTTCATTTTGGGGGCATCCGACATTCCGATGTACTCTTTTTCCCTCATTAGGATTTTTTCCCACAGGGTTTTTTCCTAATGAGGTTTTTAACGAGGCATCTCCCCATTGTGGATCAAAAGGTGTCGACCCTCGGCCCCTCTATTGAAGACATCATCACGAGACATGTACTACTCTACTCCTCTTCACCTCACTACATTCACCTCAAGGAGTGGGGGACCGGAAGAGCGGGGGGCTTAGCGCCTCCGTTACCAAAGAAGCAGGAATTCAAATTTTTAACGAAGTTTACTCACCAGACGACGACAGATCAGCACACAGTTCTACTCCCTTTCGCCTCGAGTACTCTCGCCTTGAGTTCAACTCTCAATGAAAGCACCATTGATGGATTATAGGGATCCAAACATACATAATTAGGAGAGATTTGAGCAAGAGAAGTGAGGAAGAAGATGAAGTGTGTATGAATGAATTATGAACTATGAACTTAGGGTTTACAAGACCTCCCATGGGGAGTATAAATAGAGAAACAATGGGTCGGGCCTCTAATATGGGCCCGAAAATCCCAACTACATAAATGGCTAATCTAATAGATACAAATGATATAAAGACTGTACAATAATGTAAATGCTATCAGGTAAGCGTGTGTGGGCCGTTGTCCAGGCCCAATAGTCGTGATACCCGGGGTCCGAGTCTATATACTCTATCAAGCACCATAGTTAAATTCCATCTCAATTAGTTGTAAAGTCGTAGCATCATTCGCTAATGGCCTTAATGTATCTAGACTTTCGCAGGGTAATTTGAACAATAATGATTCCACTTTTTTATACATATCCTCTGTGATGTACTTCACCCAAGTGAGGGTATGATATCTTATGAGGGTCTAGAACAACACTCTCAACATGACCATTTATATATGCAAGATTTGGCATTCTCTTAAACTTTCTTCCATAATGTATTTTCAACTCTGCCTCCAAAAACATCCTGAAAAGCAAAAGATTGGGAAATACAGTAATGAAATTCATTGTTTCATTTTTATGTATAATAATGCCATTTGATGTTTGGATCACTAAACATATAGCTAACAATACACGAATTGCAAATTTAGCAAGAAACTACGTCATTCCATACTTTGAGTATCTTAAACCCGCCCAAACACAATAAATGTAAATTACATATTTCATGCAAACTAAAAGACACGGAAGTATATGTCGTGTGAAATATTTCACCTAAACCCAAACATATTTCAATTACTAGTATATTTCAAAATCTTTCTCAACCACCCCTTGGTTGAAGAATTGCAATTCAGTATATTAAAGTAACTCACTTGCACTACAATGTCAGAAAACGAATACAAACGAAACAAATGACATCCCAAGAAGCAAATGAACAACTGACTATCGATGTTCTCGACCTCAAGCAAAGAATTCGTCTTCATTTAAAACCCTAGTCGGAGTCATATAAGACGATCGATCCCTATTTTCTTGTTTACCAGAAACGCTATGTTTGCCTAATTAATGACACCACAAGCGGCTGACGTGGAAAATATAGTCAAGAGTGGCTAAAAAGATGCTATGTTCAAGGATATGAATCGATGAACTAGCTAACAAAAGTAGGAATTCTACAGAGAAGAATAGAATTCGAACATAAGAGATGAACAGAATATAGAAGGAATAGGAAGAAGATGATGATATTATTCAAGCTGTATAGAAGTATACAACTGGGCTTATTTATACAATTCCCGTTCCCGTCAAAGTTGTCAACTAACAGTTAGTAACAACTAACTAACTAAGCCCAATTCTAACTGCATATACAATGGCCATGTAGACTACAATTCTATCCATGGCTTGCCACGTGTACTGTCTAGAGTATTCATAACAATCCATTCCCCTTAAGATGAAGCTTGCCCACAAGCTGCAATAGAACTCTTTACAAATTCTGGAAATCTATTGGTCAAATCTTCATATCTTTCCCACGTTGCATCTTCCTTACTCCCATTCATCCATTGAATTAGCCAGTACACTGCTGCAGCATTTCCCACTTTAGCTATCTTCCTTTCTAATACTGCAAATGGTTCCACACTCAGCATTCCATTGTCATTTATATTAGGAAGAGTATAGCTTGCAGGAAGATCTCCATAATGTTTCTTCAGCTGAGATATATGAAAAACAGGATGTATTTTTGCATGATTAGGTAATTTCACCTTGTATGCAACTGCTCCTACCCTTTTAATGATCTCAAATGGTCCAAAGAACCTGGGAGATAATTTTTGGTTGCCCCGGTAAACCACAGACTGCTGTCTATAGGGTTGCAGTTTAATATACACCCACTCTCCAACTTTGAACTCCTTATCAGTCCTCCTCTTGTCAGCTTGAGTCTTCATCCTGTCTTGTGCTCGTTTGAGATGAAATCTTAACATCTGAATACACTCTTCTCTAGCGCTTAAGCTGCGATCCACTGCTTCCACTAGACTGTCTCCTTTGGTGTAAGGAAGGTGTATTGCTGATGATTGGCCATATACAACTTCATAAGGAGTTCTGCCTATGGAGGAGTGATAATTGGTGTTGTACCACCATTCAGCCAAGGGAATCCATCTGGCCCATTCTTTTGGATTCTCTCCTGTCATGCAACGTAGATAAGTTTCCAGGCATTTATTGACAACCTCCGTTTGTCCGTCGGTCTGAGGATGATAAGCAGTAGATAATCTCAATTCTACTTGCTGAAGTTTGAAAGTTTCTTGCCAAAACTTGCTGAGGAAGACTTTATCTCGATCACTAATGATGGTTTTAGGCAGTCCATGGAGTTTAAAAACATGTTCAAAGTATTCCTTGGCTACCGTGCTAGCTTCAAATGGATGAGCAAGTAAAATGAAATGGGCATACTTGCTCAGGCGATCCACCACCACCAGAATAGTGTCTTTTCCCAAGGATTTAGGTAACCCTTCTATGAAATCCATAGAGATATCCACCCAGATAGCATCAGGGATTGGTAGAGGTTGTAAAAGACCCGCAGGAGCTTCTAATAGAGGCTTATTTTTCTGACAGATGATACAACATCTGATAAAGTTTCTTACATCTTTCTTCATACTCTTCCAGTAGAAAAGAGCTTGGATCCTCTTACAGGTAGCTTGATTTCCGGAGTGTCCTCCTAGGGCAGAGCTGTGTAGATTCTGAATGATCTCCTTTCTTAAGTATGCATCTTCTCCTACCACCAGTTTCCCTTTCCTTAGCAGCTTACCTTGTGAGAAAGAATACTTCTTCATTGAATTAGGTTCTTCTCTTACTTTCTTCATCAGATCTGCTGTTTCTCCCACTTCCCAACTTTTTTGTATTTTTTCCAAGAGCTCTGAATGTACTTCAGTCAATATCATACTGATCAGTTCCCCATTGCCCACTCTGGAAAGTGCATCTGCAGCAACATTCTCCTTACCCTTCCTGTACTCAATCTCATAATCCAGTCCCATGAGTTTAGGTAGGCATTTACTCTGGAATGGTGTGGTAATTTTCTGCTCCAGTAGGTATTTTAGACTAAAGTGATCTGTTTTAATGATGAAATGATGCCCAATCAGGTATGCTCTCCACTTTTCTACAGCTAAGATTACTGCCAGCAACTCCTTTTCATACGTGGAAAGGCTTTTATTCTTTTCAGATAGAGCCTTACTCAAATAGGCTATTGGATGTTGATTTTGAGAAAGAATAGCTCCAATTCCTTTATCTGAGGCATCAGTCTCTATGACAAATGGCTGTTGGAAGTCTGGTAAAGCTAGCACTGGAGCTTCACTCATGGCTTTTTTGAGTATTGTAAAAGCTTGCTCAGTCTCCTTATTCCAGAGAAATGCATTCTTTTTCAACAAGTTGGTCAGGGGTTTGCTTAAAATCCCATAGTTCTTGATGAATTTTCTGTAGTAGCCAGTCAAACCTAGGAAACCTCTTAATCCCTTGATGTTCCTAGGACTTGGCCAAGTCTGCATGGCTTCAATTTTCTTAGGATCAGTAGATACTCCACTCTTGGAAATGATATGCCCCAAGTATTCAACTTCTTTCACCCCAAAGATGCATTTGCTTCTTTTAGCAAATAACTCATTCTGCCTGAGTACTTCCATAGTCATTTGTAAGTGCTTCAGATGCTCTATCCAAGATGAACTGTAAATGAGGATATCATCAAAAAAAACTAATATGAATTTCCTCAAATAAGGCTGAAATATGCAGTTCATCAGACTCTGAAAAGTAGAAGGGGCATTTGTGAGTCCAAAAGACATCACCAGGAATTCAAAATGCCCCACATGGGTTCTGAATGCTGTTTTTTCTATATCTTCTTCCTTCATTCTTATTTGCCAATACCCAGATCTCAAATCTATTTTAGAAAAAACACTAGACCCATGCAATTCATCAAGTAACTCATCAATAATAGGGATAGGAAACTTATCTTTTACAGTCTGCTTGTTGAGCTCCCGGTAGTCCACACAGAACCTCCATCCGCCATCCTTTTTTTTTATCATAACTACTGGTGCAGAAAAAGGACTTTGGCTGGGTCTGATGATGCCATTGTCCAGCATCTCTTGGGTTATTTCTTCAATAGCATCTTTTTGGATCACCGGATATCTGTATGGCCTTACATTAATAGGGGCAGTTCCTGGTTTGAGATGTATTTTGTGATCATGCTCTCTATGTGGGGGTAGTTGTTTTGGCTCCTCAAAGATGTCTGCATAAGAGTGAAGTAGTTGATCTAACTCCTTCAGTTGAGATTCCTGGTCTTTTGCACTGCCATGAGTAATCTGGGAAACAACTAAATTTTGACTCACTTGAATTACCATTAATTGCCCATGTCCACTTCTATTTTCTTTCTGGATCCCTTTGATACTTTGGCTTCCATTCATCCAGCTAAGGCTGCCCCTTTTTCTTCCTCTCAAAACCATTCTTCTGCCCAAGTAATTGAATTCCATAATAAGATCCTTGAAATTCCAACTAATCTGTCCCAAGGAAGCTAACCACTGAATTCCCAGAACCATCTCACAACTTCCTAGAGGCACCAACATAGTATCAGCTATAAATTCCTGTCCATGTAGGTTTCACTTGAACTTCTGACAAGTTAGATTTGTAAAAATCTTTTCACCATTAGCAACTGATACCTCCAAAGGATAGGACTTAGAAATCCTGCACCCCAATTTCTTAGCAGTTTGAAGGTCTAGGAAATTATGTGTACTCCCAGAATCAATCAAGATGTGCAGGTCATGCTTTCCCACCTTCCCCACTACTCTCATGGTGTGAAAGTTTTGATGACCGGACAAGGCATTTAAGGAAATTAAAGGGGGCTCATCACTTCCCTCTGAATATTCTTGAGAGCTAGTCTCGACGTTGTTGTCTGCTCCCTGAATTCCCAAGTTCTCTTCTATTGATTCTACATTGTCTTCTTCCAGAATAGGCATTATTTGAATTTTGTATATATGTGCCTTGCAGGTGTGGCCTGGAGCATATTTTTCATCACAATGAAAACACAAATTTTTTCTTCTTCTTTCTTCAATGTCCATAGGAGATAAAAATTTCCTTTTAGGATCCATGAGATACCTGCCTTGAGAGCTTGCAGGTTTAGGGAGTAACCCTTGTGCTTTGGTCTGAAAGCCTGGTATATAATTATACCCAGTTTTTGTTTGGTTTTCTCCATTCCTAAATGTAGGCCTGTCAACATAGTTTCTTCCTACTTTTTTCAAGGCTTCCAAACTGTTTTCTTGCAACCTGCCATACTCCATTGCTTGCAGCAGTGTTCTTGGTTTAAAGGCCTTAACAAAGTGTTTTATAGTAGGGTTAAGACCCCCTATAAAACTATCCAAGAAGAAGTCATCTGGCAATCTCTCGTTTCTCTGTAACATCAGCCCTTTTAGACTCTCAAACTTATCCACATAATCATCTAGAGAGTTATTTTGTTGCAATTTATTGAAATCT